AATAGCCGAAAGTCAGTGGAGAGTGAGCCATGTTCATATAAAGGAAAAAAGCAATCCAGGCAGGAGAAACCAAGGATGCACGGATGTTTGACAACGGCACGGAAATGGAGGTGGCAGGGGTAGAGAGCGAGGGGAAGTCTCCCAAGTGGAGGCTGTGCCCCCAGGAGCATGTATGTTTGTAAGGATTGTAAGTGTGGGTCTGAGTGACATGAGATCCCACTGAAGCAAATTTTTTAATCCTCACCCAAGGATATGTTTATTGATTTTAGAGAGAGGGGATGGTGGAGAGAGAGAGGTCGGGGGAGTCTATCTGTTGCTTCCCATACTGTGCCCCAACTGGGAATCAAACCTGCAGCCTTTTGGGGTATGAGATGACGCTCCAATCAACAGAGCCAACTGGCCAGGGCTGGAGCAATTTTTAAGTTGAGATGAATCTCACATCTCACATAATTTTGAACATTTTATTGTGAACAATTCAGTGACTTTTTTTTTATATTACAACTATTCTGGATCATTTCCTGTACATGAAGTCCTAGAATAAGTAACATTTTATGACTGGCTTCTTTCATTTAGTAAACTGCTTCTGACTCTCTTGACTAGACTATCAATGTCACATTGCAAAGGGGTCTGCAAAGTCAGGGAAAAATTGTTAGGTTTCTTTTTCCTTTCTTTCTTTATGTTTTCATAATCTATCACATCATGAAAGTGAAGATATTGAGAACATCTTCAGTTACATGCTCCTGACATTCAGGAGAGAAGACTGTGCTGGAGGTAAGTGTATAGGCTGATGAACAAAGAATCTCTCCAAAGCCTTGAGGTTGTCCAATAATTTAAAAACCAGTGAAATAAGGAGAAAACAGAAAAGTGAATTAAATGGGTGAGTGAGGTAGAAGGAAACCTCAAGAAAGTTGTATCCAAGAAATTAAATTTAGCATTGAAATATACCAAAATGGGCATTTATTGTTAATGTAGTAGGTAATGGCTTTTCCTACAATTAAGCATCTTTAAAGTTATCTGACCATTTTGTATTGGCGACTGTTTTCTCTCTAGCCCTAGGCAAAGAAACAGCAGTGGTTTATGTGAATACCAAAATTCTTCCTGTATTAAGCTCATTAAAAGATCTAAATTTCCATTAATATCCAGGGAAACTAGGCCAGAAATCGTCTGCAATGCTAATAGAAGCTATGAATTTAAATTTTCATTGAAGTAATAGGGCCAGGTGTTTCAAACACTGGCAAAACTCCGTGGTGAGGGCAGCTGAAAGACATTTGCTTTATAACCATGTTGAAACATGTAATACTTATTAAACATCTTCTTGTATATAAAATCATTCTAGGTCCTCACAGATATGCAAAGTTGAATGAAGCACTTGATCTCATTTTTCAGATGAGTTGCCATTTAAATAAGACACCATAGCTGAGATAATACATTTTATAAAATGCTAATGGGCAGGAAAGAGCAATGCTGTTCACACAGAGACATGTCTGCGTAAAGCATGGAAAGATGTACTTAGCAACAGAGAGCAGGAGAGAAGCCATAGGAAAGAAAAGAATAAGCAACAGGGGGCCAGAACAAAATCTCTACCAATTAGTAGTGTATGTAAACAAATCTCTTAGTCTAGTAAAAACCCCAGCTGCCGTTTATGGTTTTTATAATGTGCCAAGCACCATTTTAAGTACATCCATTTCAATTGACTGAGTCCTCATAGCAACCTATAAGGCGGGAGCCATTTTTTGGGGCTGTATCACATTTAACTGACCTGCTTGTTTTCAGTGCTGTCTGTCTGCACCTCCCCACAAATGCATCCTATGGTGATTCTGCTTCTCTACCTTTCAGATTGTCCCTAAAGCCTTAGAAAACCAATCAGCTTGCATGCAGATGCAGTTTGGAAGCAGTCCTCAACCACTGGGGGACAGGAGTCAATGGATACATACTTTGTCTTTACTTGCCTTGGAGGGATCATTTTGAGATGCAGTCTGTGTGGCTCCTTGGGCAATCCCCAAGGTGATGGATGGAACTTTCGTTCCACCATAGAAACTAGCTCACAGAGGCACCTTCCATTGCCCTCTTCCCTTCCTGTTTCATCATCCTTCCTTCTGCACTCTGCTTTCTGTAATTCCCTCCCTATAAACTCGCTGCAAGCAAACCCATGTCTCAGGCACTTTTTATGGAGACCCACACTTTTTACACACACACACACACACACACACACACACACTTCAGAAAGGATAAAATCGAGATTTGATCCCTAATATTCCAGGTTAAGTAATACTAACTCTCTTGGAGTTAAGGTTTCCCTTATTTAATTGTTATAAATAAATAAAATACTTATAGAATCAACTATGGAATTCTATGATTCTAAATTATAACTTCTTACACAGAAAAGGAAAGAAATAATTTCTGGTAAGAATTTAAGACCTAGAACACTGAATATTCTGGGCAAGAAAAGTTCTCTTATCCTAATAGTTTAATCTCTGAATGTTTTATTTCAATAGACAATGCATTGAAAAACTCTATTTTTTAGTATTTTATAAAAAAATGTCTGTTGTGTTCTCTGACTCTTGGTTAAGGACCTTCCTCCCAAGTTTATGGGGACTTAGATGACAATTATAGCCTTCATTTGGATGGTATTTTACTGTTTAGAGTGCTTGCACATATGCTGTTCCATTAACTGTTAGAACTGTATTCCATGAGCTACATGGAATCATTTTACAGATCAGGAAGCTTACTGCATTGATTGCATCTTGCCCAGGCTGATGTACTTGGCACGCGGCAGAACCAGGTAATGAATCTACATCCTCTTGTATCCAAGGCAGGCTTTGTCTTCCTCAGCATCACCATTTATGAAGTCTTCAACTGCAGTCAATGCTGAGGAAAGCAGTAAAGAATGAACTCTCTGGGTGAACTGTGTGGAAAGGAAATTGTTTAAATGTATTTATAAATAGCTGCTTCCCATTAATTGACATGTTTTATTCTCTACATTTCCACAGCACATGTAGATGCACAAAGAAGGTTGATTCTAATAAAAGTTATAGAATCATAGTGGAGTACCAAGGAGTCAAGTTAAAGAGCAATAGGCAATTATTCAGCTCCTCTACTGGTGGTTCCTACCACTCTTTTGTCTTCAATCTCTTGACCCTCAATTTGTTTAAAGTAGTATTGATAATCTAGTATCAAATAAGAATATAAACAAACTTACATTGAAACCATAAAAAAAGAAATCAACAGAGACAAGAGGGAAGGGGGGGCAGGGAAAGGGAAGGGAAGGGGAAAGTCAAGGAACATATAGCAAGGACTCATGGACAAAACCAAAGGGGAAGAGCTGAGGGAGGGAAGGTGGGAGGGGGCAAGGGAAAGAGGTGGGGGGAAGGCAGAGACAAATGTATTTAAAAAGTAAATAAATTAATTTAAAAAAAAAAAAGAAACCATAAAACAGAGTCAGATCATAAATTGCTGTTTGACCACCTTTTGCTAATTTCAAGCTGTGGGCTCACAGCTCACTTGAAATGGGGAAGATAAGAATCTGTGTAGGAGGAGTCAGCAATTTGCCCCTTCTTAGTCAGGGAAACCATCTTTTTTTTTCATTAGTTTTTCTCAATCTGAGGCATTTGCAGAGGGTAGGATTTCCTACAGTCTTGATCTCTTCATCCATCTGAGAAGCAACAAATCCTTCAAACCTGCACATTTCCATGTGGTCTTAACAGGTCAACATACCTAACTCTTCTACCTGATGTACAGTGTCCCAAACTCTGTTCTGATCTGTGGATGTCATGTCCTTTTCCTCTCTGCAAGTTGTTGATACTTTTATTTTTTTCATTGTGCTGAAATAAGGCATTTCATAAAAATCTATCATCTTAATAATTCTAAGTTGACAGTTCAGTAGTATTAAGTACATTCGCGTTATTATGCAAGTATTACCACCATCCATTCTCATAACTATTTTCTTTCTTTAAAACTGACACTCTATACCTATTAAACAATAACATACCATTCTCCACTCCCAACAGCCCCTGGCACCAACTATCCTACTTTCTGCCTCTTTGAATTTGACTATTCCAATTACCTCAACCGTTATCACCATCCATTCCCACAATTATTTTCTTTTTCAAAAAACTCACTTCTGTACCCATTAAAGCATAGGAAATATAGTAAATAATATTCTAATAACTATTTGTGGTGTCACATAGGCACTAGACTTATTGGGGTGATCAATTCCTAAGGTATATTAATGTCTAATCACTCTGTTGTGCATCTAAATTTAATATAATATATTATGTCAACGGTAATTGAAACATAAATTTTAAAAACATTAACTCCCCATTTCTCCCTCACAAAGCTTCTGGCAACCACTGTTCTATTTTGTTCATGCATTGGACTATTCTAAATACCTTATATAAGTGGAATCACACACTATTTGTCTTTTTGTGACTGGCTTATTTCATTTAGTATAACATCGTCATGATTCATTTTAATGTGGCATGTAACAGAATTTCCTTTCTTTTTGAAGGCTGAATAATATTCCATTGTGTGTATATACTACATTTTGTTTATTCGTCACTCCATTGATGAACACTTTGATTGTTTAAACCTCTCAGCTATTGTGAATAGTGCTGCTCTGACCATGTGTGAATAATACTCTTTTTGATATCCTGCTTTCATTTTTTTTTGGACATGAAGTGAACTGGATGGATCATCTGGTAGTTCTATTTTAAATTTTTGAGGAAATTCTATACTTTTTTCCCATAGCATTAGCACCATTTTTTCTTATTCCAGCCAATGATATGCAAGAGTTATAATCTCTTTACACCCTCACCAACACTTGTTATTTCCTGGCTCTCCGCGTACTTTTTTAAAAATAGCTAGTAATAAGTGTGAGGTGATTGAAGTTTTGATTTGCCTCTCCTTAATGATTAGTGATATTGAGCATCTTTTCATATTCTTGCTGGCCATTTGAATAACATCTTTGGAGGAATGTCTATTGAAGTCCTTTGCACATTTTTAAGAATACAAAATACTCCATGGTGCTTAATATGTCATCCTTACACAGGAGCGATGTTCATCTTCTTTGTATCTTTCCAATTTTAGTATATGTCCTGCCAAAGCAGGCACATATAGTTGTTGTTTCTTAATGAGAATTCAATATTTTATTAATATATTTTCCTCTTCTCAGTAAACCATCCCCCATTATGCACCAGTGTTTTTGTCCATAAAAAATATAGAAGGGGATTTGTATTTATTCTTAAAACTTCTGTTTTGCTCCTCTCAGGTCATCTGCTCTTTACATTCCTTGATCACTGGTAGTCTTTGTGGTTTTTGGGTTTTGTTTTGTTCTGTATTTGCTCATGTTCCTAGATTTGTGGGAGAGAATACATTTAAGGTCTGGTTTAACTCTGCCACCTTAAACAACTTGATCAAGGTAGAGATGAGTAAGGAGCAATATTTCAACCTTGCAACTAAAGAGGATATAAATCTTGCCCTTTTTTTAAATTTTAATCAGAAGTTCTTAATTTTCTCACCATTGATGTACAAATCATTTATGCTTGCACTGCAACCAACATAAATCATTAACACAAAAGAATAGTAAGCAACCTTTAATCAATATCACTTCCTTCTATGTGACACTGTGAGAATGAAAGAATACAATTTGTCATTGATTCTAAGTCTCACAAACATTTAGCCAAGGACTGGTATCTTTCCAGCACTTACCTTGCTCCAGCCAAACAGGCCTTCCTTATGTTTTTAGGGCAAGTCAAGGTCATTTCTGCCACCAAAACTTTGCGCATCTTGTTCTTTGCATCATTTCATCATTGAGGTCTTAGCTTAATACCCTCTCCTTGGAGACGCCCTCCTGACACCTTACCCCATGATGCTGCCTCCAGACTGTCACTTTCTATTATTGCATCCATTGCATTTTCTTCACAGCACAAATCACTTTCTGAAATTAAGGTATTAAATTATTTACTTGTGTGTTTGTTTATTGTCAGCTATGACCCCCAGGCATTCAAATATAAGTTCCATGATTGCCAAATCCTGTTGCTTTGGTTGACCTGTATATACTCAGTGCCTATTAATAGAAGATATATAATAAATACTAGTATATGTTGAATGAATACATGACGACAATGTCAATCAAGGGTCAGCAAACTTTTTCTGTGCAAAGCCATGTGATCTCTGTTGCAACTGCTGAACTCTTCTGCTGTAATATAAAAACAATCAAAGACAACACAAAAACAAATTAGCATGACTGTGTTGCAATAATATTTTATTTATAGAAACAGAGGTTGGGCTAGATTTGGCCTGTGAACCATTGTGTGCTAACTGCTGGAGTAGATCATTTGTTAGTAATTTGGGTGTCAGGCAGGTCACTCTAGGATGTTGATTCAGATGCTGGCATTTGCCAGAAAATGTGTTAGTAATAATAAAGAGCCAAATATAAAACTGGATTTACTTCAAATATATAGACAATAATTAAGATAAAGATTAAGAGAATAATCCAGATTTTCTACTTATAATTATGACTGTTATTCCCTCAGAGACTTCAGTGGGATATTTTGGCATTGAATATAATATGTAGGTGAAAGAAGATGTTTGAAATCACCTCTCACATACAGCAATGGTCCTCACGCTAGTATGCATAAGAATTACTAGTCATTGCCTGGCTGTACCCACAGAGTTTCTGATCCAGTTCATCTGGGGTAGTGCCGGAGAGTTTGTATTTCTCTGTAGTTCCGGTGCTGCTGATGCTGGTGAGATAGAGGCTGGGAAGTAGAAAGAAAAATGAATGTTAAGATGTGAGTGAGGGCATATAGCTGCTAGTAGGGGTTATGAAAATGGTAAGTAGTGCACAAACAAAAGGAATCTATCCAGAAGAGTAGCATAAATATGGGTTAAAGATGAATTGGTTGTACAGATAAGGGAAAAATAAGAACCACATTACTATAACATTGTTATCTGGGGGAACTAGATGAATAACAATTCATTAATTAAAATAACGGGACTGTGGATGAGGTATGAAGGAAAGATCATAAGTTCTTATTTGTATATACTGCATTTGTGGTACTTCCATCCATCCAATTGGATTGAATAAGAGGCCTTTGGAAATATGGAAATATGGACAAAGCTCAGAAATGACTTCTGGCATCAAGACATATACTTTTGTTAGCAGTCAGGAAATGGATGGTCATTGAATTTGTGGGAAAATGTGAAATAACTCTTAGTGGATATGAGGGACAAGAAGAGAAGAAAATCTCAGGGATTCTAAACTGTGCCAGGCTAAGTAAGTTTCCTTCTTTAATAGAAGTGCTAGACTGGTAGGCATAAAGCTGCACTTGATTAGCATGGCACTTGCCAATATATTTGTTGTTATTAGATAAAATGAACTGTTCACTTTGACAGTGTATGGTATTAATACCTGGTTTTATGAATGTAGACAAAGGATATTGACATAAGAACGAAACAATATGGAGGAGGATGCCCAACGGTATGTCAGCAGTCTCTCCCCTCAGCTGCATCCCCATTGATAGGTCTCTCAGGGCAGATAAGTTGATGCTTTTGACATAAAACAGAAGGAAAGGTGTTGGAATGAGGGAATATACTTGCTAAGATGGGGGGAAAGGTTAGATCGTATAGTACCAAAAGAATTTTTTAAAAGTAAGTCTAGCTTTGCATTAAAAAGTGATAAAAAGGAAGAGAGAATCGAAGAACATATGGAGCTAACATATCAAAACTAAGATGGGAGACGTCAATTCAAATGTTCATATAACCTCATAAAGTGTAAATGGACCAAACCTTTCAATTAAAAAGCCGAGAAGGGAACCCTAGCACTCTGTTGGTGGGAATACAGACTGGTGCAGCCGCTGTGGAAAACAGTATGGAATTTTATCAAAAAACTAAAAATGGAACTGCCTTTTGACCTGGCAATTCCACTGCTGGGATTATACCCTAACAATCCTGAAACCCCAGTCAAAAGAACCTATGTACCCCAATGTTTATAGCAGCACAATTTGCAATGGCCAAGTGCTAGAAACAGTCTAAATGCCCATCAGTAAATGAGTGGATTAAGAAACTATGGTACATTTACACAATGGAATACTACGCAGCAGAAAGAAGGAACTCCTACGCTTCACAACAGCATGAATGGGACTGGAGAGCATTATGCTAAGAGAAATAAGCCAGGGGGTGAAAGACAAATACCGTATGATCTCATCTATAAGTGGAACCTAATGAACAAAACAAACAAGTGACCAAAATAGAACCAGAGACATGGAAAGAAGAAACAATCTGACAGTAATCAGAGGGGCGGGAGGAGGAGGATAACGGGGAAAGAAAGGGAAGGGTTGACAAGGAACATGTATAAAGAATCCATGGACGAAGACAGAGGAGGGGGAGGATTGAATGTGGCAGGTGGGGTGGGTAGGGCAGGGGGAAAGTAATGAGGGGGAAATGGGGACCACTGTAATTGAACAACAATAAAAAGGAAAGAAAAGGCAGAGGACTTCAGACGACACCAAAATAAAAATTGAGACCAAACCCTGTGCTATTTATAAGATGAAAACAAACAAACAAAAAAGACATGGCATGCACACTATAACAATAAGAAGACAAATTAGACAAAGTAGACTTTAGAACAAGGATTATTATCCGAAATAAAGTGGGCATTCTATAGTGATTAAAATAACACTTCACCAGGAAGATATACTAATATTTAACATAAACATACCTAATAAGAGAGATTCAATATGCATACAGCAGAAAAATTACTAGTTCAAAGGGAGAAATAGAAAAATCCATAATTAATCTTAATTGATTTTCATTTTTCTCTCAGTCATTATTAGAACAACTAGGCAAACAATTCAGTAAATATACGTTAGACTTAAACAACAAAACCTCAGCTTAAACTAGTTGGCATTTAGAGAATTTCCTTTTAAGGATGAAGGCCACAAGTTTGGAGGAAAGGCAGCAAACCTCCAAGGAGTTCTTCCACATTTCTGAAAATCAGAAAATCAGAAATGGCTTTTGGGATATAAGTCCTTTTGCAGGCCTGTGCACCGTTTGTGGCCACTTCCTGCTGAGGCCTATGTTCAGACTTACCAAAAAATAACAATTTTTAGATGAAGCTAGTGTTCTCTGGCAACTTAATTTCTTCAAGACCTTATTAGTTTTATGACTTAGTTACTTCTAGTTAGTTTCATGATTGGGTAGCCACATAAAAAGTTCTTTTTGAAACTGTTCTCTGATAGTGATATTTCCTTGCTTCCTGGTTTCTTCATATATCTCAACAAAATTTAACTACCTTGAGTAAATGAGGCCTACATAGGAAACATTACAAATGTGGTCACTTTATGGGGATTTTGCATTCATGTCTGTAGGGAAAAAATAAAAAAACACTTTAAAGAATTTCATCTGATGCTTAGGACCTAGAATCTGTCCATCTTTCCAGTCTCTGAGGCCTTACATAGGTGGTCTCTTTCCTTTTATTTTTGCTTCTATGCTGCTTGTCTCATTTCTTAGTTGCTAAACACATACAACGGCCATCAACACATATTAAAATGATCTTTTTCAACTTCTTTCCCCAGCTTAGGATCATTTTTTTCAGTCTTAAAAATTATTTCAGATAATAGGTTTACCAAATATTTTGCATCTGAATGGCATAGATAAGGAGCTTGTGGAGATGGTTGAATGCCTTGTCTTATCTTCCATTCAGTCACTGGGCCAGTGTTGCATAGTGAAAAACGTTTTTGCATGTCATTCCAGTTCAGGTATTAATTTCTGTTAATAACAATAAGCCAGGATGGCTGCTGAAACAGACAATACAGAATCTCAGTGGTTCTCAATAATTAGGCTATTTGGTGTACGTGCATGTGTGTGCACGCACAGGCCCACACGCATAGCAGGGAGGGAGGAGGCAGAGGGAAGGAGAAGGAGAAGGAAAACAGGTAGCTCTGATCTGTGCTGGTATCTTTAGGAAGATGGATTTTCAAGGGCTGATAAAAGCTAAAAACTGGATCCTATTGCTACTTGAATTCTAACAGCTGCTGCCAGCTTGAAGAGCTATGGCTGATGTGCTGCTTATAGGAACCATAAACCAACCTAGAAAGAGCTGATCAC